AAGTTTCGACGACGCCTGCGCTACGCATGCTCTCGGTATCTCTCCCGCTGCACGTGCAATATTTCACATGTGCTTTTTGTCCTTTTACCGGCATGCTGCATGTCTCTCGACCGCTCTCTCTCTCTCTCTCTCTCCATCACTGGGCGGCAGCCCAGCCCTCCTGCCCGACCTTCTTTTCGTGTGACTCAAGTCCTGAAGGTTAAAGCGCTTTAAGTACGCTGTCGTCTCTGTTTCTAGCACTTTCCAAAATCCTTGGGCATCTCCATACGATGTGTTGTGTTCTTCTTTTGTTTTTCTTGTTCGTTTTTCAATTGGTTGTAATTACTCGTGTACACACTATCGGGGGACATTCATTGATCAAGGTCTCAGTACTCGTACTATTTCAATTTACCAAGCAATCAGCCAGGGTCGTGGTAGGAGGCGTGGGGTCGGGACGGGGTTGGTTTCTTCCAGCATCGATAAGAAACCCTGTAATTTATGATGATGAAAACGGTTCTGTTCTGCTGATATTACAGACCAAATGAAATACCATCATAATCAACGTTTTTTCTTGCCATCTCAAAGTTTTATGATTTACTCGTGTGATTATGCCAGAAAATTCGGTACCTACATATCTCGCACCCATACCTGCGTCATAATTTGGTTTACGTGACGCAGATTAGGCCCAGCGCATGATAAGAAACAAATTTGTTTTCGTCTAAGACTTAAACACTTCCATGGAAAGGTCCACCGAGACATAATAATTAAAAGGTAATTTAAACCCATTTCCATATATTATTTTCTAAATTGAATGAAGCCAATTGACACATCATTTCATTAACATTGATCTGAAAACCTATTACAATAAGCAAATGGACACTTTTTCGATATTTTTGTTGGTATTTTTTATGGTCATGTCTTCCTTTTCCAATATCTCCTACAAGAAAGATGATTTTTGATCAAAGTTCTTCCACAAAGACTTTCTAAAATATTGAACTACATATCCACAAAACCATCAATTTTAAACATCCATCAACGCCCAACATTTATCAGAAATTCACATCAATCGCCGCAATCACTTCTAAATTTTTGTCTCCTGCGACTGCCTTGGTTTTTTGCAAAAATCTCGAAAATTAATAGCTGCCCAAAATCGACCATAGAACCAATTAAAGGTCTTATTTTGATCTTTTTACCACTTGCAATGTGCCTCATGGAAATTCTTAAACCCTATCTTAAGTCGGGTCAAAGTTTTGAAAGCCTTTATATTCGGTACAAGAAATTGACATACGAATTATGGAATTATGGAATGGACAAGAGCTCCAATTAATATGGACTACGAAGAGCCAAAGCTGTCTAATCAGCACCCTAATATTTAATATTTCCCCATTTGGGGCCTGCTTTTCAACATCAGATATTCTGGCCAATGCCAAAAAGACCAAATTATTTATGATGGAGCATAATACATAAAAACCGGCACCAGTGTGTGTGCGGGTGAGGAACAGGGCTAGATGATAATGGCTATAAGAAAAAACAGAACAGAACGGACCAGCAACTGCTGTTAATCTAATCGTGCTGGCGCTTTATCAACGTCATGGCGACTGGCTAACGGTGCCCCTACCCGTACCCGCACCCACACGATCCATTCCGTTCCGTTTCTCCGAGCCTCGATAAGATTGCCATTTTTGTGGGGGTGGTGGTGGGGGGTTCCAGAGAAGGTTACGCAATCAGTGTGACAGTGTGTGACAAAAAAGAAACCATAGAAGAGGAAATGAACTCAATAAAGTAATGATGATAAATAGAATTTTGATAACGCCTGTGGTCAAGTGGCATTGAGGCATTGAGTGGGGGATTTAGGGTGCGCTTAGCCCTGAAAGTGTTGACGGAATTGCATGTGATTCGGATCCGATGCGATCCCCCCGCCCCCCCATTGACCAAACAGCACCACTTTCCGCGTGAATGAGTTTTTCTCCCCGCCTCTAATCACCAATCGTTACCACAAGAGTCACACGCAAACGTATCTAATTAAATACCTGATTGTTGTTTTATTGCATACGCCTACAACTGATAGCAAAGGCAAATGACAAAACAAAACAAAACAAAAACCAAAACAGCAGAGCATAGGAAAAAAAACTGGAAAAGAAAGGTACAAAATCGAATGAAAATGAGAACAAGAACGAGGCGAACAATAGACCATGGACTCAACGGTATCAGCTCGGGAATGTGGAATGCCAGTGGGTCGGAAAATGGAGCAAGGCAAGCGGTTACCTCCAAGTACATATTACCGTTTAAATTATTTCACAAATTCAAATATTTAAATTTGAGAAAACGTTCCTTCGAGCGCCATCTGTCGCAAATGCCTATGTATATGGAAGGTAGAATTCATGTAAAAGCACGTAAAAATGTATTTTCAGTCCCGCTTATCGCACAAAAATACCGATATTATTTGTGCATCGATAAGTAGAAACCAAATTCGACATGTAGATATGTTTAATTGGTACGGTAATTACGGTATATTTCAATATCAGGCAAAGATATATACACAGTCTGAAAATTTGCTCAGACAATGCTCAGACCATCTATCCATTGCCGGTTTCCGAAGCCAAAGTTCCAAAGTTCTCGGAGGTCTATTTAATCAAAACCAATATAGGAAATAGATGTAAGAGTATCAAATCAAATCTATCACAAGAACGGCTGCGAACTGGAAAAGGTAATAGTGCTCTCATTTTGCAGAATCTGCTCTCCTTTTCATGGTGGAATATTCACTCTGGTGGAGGGATTTTCATCGCAGCAATATCTTTTTTTTATCGCAACAATGTAGAGCACTACATTTCATTACGTTTCACACCGTTAGTAGCTTCAGCTTGTATGAGCAAACATTCTGCATAAAACGTGCTTTCAAAATTCACTTTCAAACAATTCCACTTTGGCGCATTTGAGACGCCATCAACACGCTACCTGGCGTCTTTTTATGGCATCATTGTATTTCATACGTAAGAAAATGTTTATAAATGTAAAAAAATTTATCGATAGTATATGTATACAAAATAAATATAAAAATTAGTCGAGTCGATAACACATTGACTAGGGCTGCAAGACCAATTTTCAAATGAACCGCACAGCAACTGTGAAAATAAATTATGTCCTAGTAAGCTAGTCAAGGAATACGATTTGCGATCATCACAGTTTTTTGAATTTTCGCTCTCAAATCGTACTTACATGGATAATTTATTCCAATGGATTGCATTTAATTTCTTTTCGCTCCCTCACTTAAACAAATTATATTTGGCGCGCACAATGATGGCCTAATTGAGAGTTTTTGGCTCTCTGGCTGTGTTCAAATCGGTTAAGGCTCTCTTTTTCGCTCTCTCTGAATCGGCTGTGAATTGGTAGCAGCAATGAGCCCCATTCCATGCACAAAACTTGCGGCAATATTCAATTTGTATGGGCCAGACTCATGTGCCGCGACATGGGCAGCATTCTGCATACCCTAGGGAAAAGGATGCTATAGAATTGAGAAAATGTTTAACTCAGGCTCAAATTAATGCAGAAACTAGTCTGTCTCTGCTTCAAAGCAATCAAAACGATATTTTGCAGACCAAGAATGAGTATCGGGATCAGGATATATATACAGGAAACTAATCAAATGCATGAATACGTCTAAAACATATCAATTTGAGAAAATGTATTTATTAATTACGGTTTAAAACAGTTTGTAAAACAGTATCTTTATATAAGGTTAACGAAATAGGGTATACACGTGTCCATACTCCGGTTGACAAGCAACAAGTCTTCAAATACCAGCAACATCGACAGCACTGCGACTTTTTTTTTGTTGACCTTTTTTTGTTTAAACCCTGTTTTAGGCAAAATACAATAAATGGGGGTACTTAAAAATAGTTAATCATGTAGAAAATGTATTCAACAATGGGATAAAACATTGTGGGCAGGGCTGAGGGATTTAGTTAGTTCGAATTATTCAACGGAATATCAAAATTGAGCAAACGGAACGATTACTCTCTTACGTTTTCTTGCCTGACCTCTTCGCAAAAAACCTTTTCTTAGACAAAATCCAATAAAAGCAAGTATTTAAAATAAACCAGTCAAGTAGAAAAGAAGTTTATTAATTGGATAAAAATATATGGGCAGGGCTGAGTGATCTATCTAGCTATTAATATTCGACGGAATATCAAAAACGAGGAATATGTATAATAGAACTTAAATTCGTCAGTATATTTACGGTATATTTTTAAAATGAGACGGTATATTTCTGAGGGACAGACTATATCGGATTTTCTTATTTTCTTACCACCACGTCTAGCTCACACACCTCAACATTTTTATACTTTTCATAGTATTTTCTAGTATCTTGCAGTATATTTTTAGACGCGTTATGGACCTCCACCTTCTTGTCCAATGCACCAATGTAGAAACTATGTAGAAATGCCAATTAAAGCCATGTCCCAGGCCACATCGAATACTAATTCGTGATTAGCATTGAATTCATGATCATTTGCATTCAAAATCCAAATTTGTTCCAAAATGTCGACAAAAGGCATGTCAAAAAGTGGATAACGGAGGTTTTTCACACTTCCATGGGGCTTATATGGAAAAACGGGCAAAAATTGTAGAGACGTACACGGTTGGCGCCATTGGTAATTACATGAAAATGTTGTTAATATGTAGCAAATGTGTAGTTAGAGTGTAGTTACCATGTAAAGAAATTAATTTACTGGAAATTGTTGTTGACCGGTTTTGCTTAAACCTTATTTTATAAACATTCTAATAAAGATAAGAACTTAAAGCTTACGAGTCTTGTAGGAAATTGATTTAATAATCGGATAAAATAATGACTTCAGAGCTGAGGGCATTAGCCAGCTGGTAATATCCAACCGAATATCAAAACCGATGGAATATGATGGAACTTGAATACAGTATTTGTACGGTATATTTTAAAATTTGTGACGTATTTGCTCAGACTGGCGCAGAGCACATTGACATTCGATAAACATTGCCACAACCCACAACTAAAAATATAATAAAAAGAACGTCGCGTCGTCTCGGGATCTATTCCACATCGTGCAAAAAGATACCGTCGTGCCGACGCTTATGCTTGCCTGTGAACGAACTAAATCTTAATTCCGTCTTTTTGGATCGGGCCACTATATTCGTGTATTAATGTAAATGGACCTCTTTCGCGTACGTGTGTACAATTTTTTTTCTGTTTGTCTGTGAACGAACATCAGTGAAACCCCCCGCGCCTAGCAGCAACAGCAACAGCAACGGCAAGAAGCGGCCGCAACAACAAAACAAAAAGTGAAATTGCCTTTTGCGGAAACCAACAAAAAAAGAGAAGAATTAAGTACAAGCGCACAGACACCCAAAAGCAAGTAAAGATTGTTGTTAACGCAGCACCTGTGCGTGTGTGTGTGCGTGCGTAGGTGTGGTTGTGTGCGTATGTTGTTGCGTTCCAACCCAAAAACTAACAAAAAAAAAACGTTCCAATTGGAATACCGCCTGCTAAAAAGAACATCTGGCCCCCCCCCAAAAAAAAACAGGCGGCCAAGAACATTTTAGCCGAAAAGACCATTCCAACGGGGTCTAATAACGTTTTTCGACAAAAAGCGAAACACATCCGAGAGGCCGCCAAAGAAGAACGAAAATAAAGCGGCTACCAAAATGGGCGATTTCGATCTGAATGTGGATAGTCTCATCCAGAGGCTGCTGGAAAGTAAGTACCGTTCCCTGATCGATCCCTACAAACCCCATGTCCCATATCCCAGTTCCTGATCCTCTTTTTTATTTTTGTATTGTGTGAGCGTGTGTTTGTGTGTGATCGAGAGAGTGCCGTATAATAAATGATTGCATTTTCTAATTATTGCACTTGGCTCGCTTAAATTGCAACAACGGCCCCATACTAAAAGCAACCACAACAACAAACTGCTGTAAAGGTCTCTCCCTCTGCTTTGACCATTTGAATTTGACTTTTGAATCAATTAATTTTAATTGATTTTCATTGCTTCTCTGAAAAAAATGCAAACAACAATAACAGTGCCCCAGTGCCCAGTGCCCAGTGCCACCAGCAGCAGCGGCAGCAGAAGTTCCATTTCCACCGAAGGGGTTCGTGCTGGTCTCATAAGTTTTACATAACCCTAACAGACAGCGAGAGAGGCGGGCCATCAGGCAGCATCTCTCTGTTGTGATCACTTAACAGAGCTCTATTGCTCTCCCCCTCCCATTCGCACTCGCACTGGCACTGCCACTCTCCGATGACTCGGAATCTGATGACGTCATTCCCCTCTGTCCAATGAAACGGAAAAACTGATAATGCGAGTGATTCAAAAGCAGAACAAAACCGAAACGAGGGGAACAGAACCGAATCGACAAAGAGAATGCGAGTCACATGAGTGCGATAAGGAAAGTCGTGGAGAAAAGAAAGGCGAGGAGGTAAACAGATAGAGAGCGGGAGAGCAGAACTTCTACCGTTCTACGGCAGAGAGCCTGATCATAGAATGCTGGGGAGAGGAGGAGTCGTCTGGAAAAGAAAGAGAAACGGTAACCGTTGGATGGATTTTCTTAGAGATGGGCATCAATAAGGGAAAACCAGCAGAACCAGCAGAGATGGGCTTTCCCTAGAGATGAAAGACTAGCAACAGATTGTTAATTTCTTTAGAGATCTGGCGTTGGGCGCAACCTTCCTTGAAAGCGTAGAAGCGCTAAATAGTTTACATTTTTCCTCCCCTTTTCATCAACATTTGCCGCCCGCCATTCTCACTCAGGCCCTGCCTCTTGGTTGCCGCCTAAGCCGCTTAGTGCCTTTCCCATTACCCGCTTTGCAAGTGTTAGGGGCAGCTTCAGCTCTGGCTGACAGGGAAATTGCATTTCAACATTGCTCTTCTTCGGTTTCTTGTCCATTTCCGCAATGAGTTTTCCATCCCCCCCAAACAGAGTCGAAGAGGCGAAAAGGAAGGGCATTTGGTGACGATTAAAGATAGACACACACAAAAAAAAAAGCCATACCATCAAGGTCATCAAGTGGGCTAGGTCACGACAGCCGCCTCCGTCCATCCTAGACTACAAAAAAATTTCATTAATTTTGATCTACTACTCAGACTTTGTATGTATGTATGTGGCGTCATCAGCCCTCTGTCATCCGAACAGCAGAAGCATTTGTCAAATTGCAAATTGAAATGGAATTTTTAGGGCACTTTAGCGGAGGGGAGGGGGGGGGGGGGGATTTGTTTAGCCGTCAGCCCCTCATCATCTTTATCTTATCCCTTACCTATCGCTTTCTTAAGGAAGGAGGCGGTCTTGAAATCCTTAATCCTTTGTACGAAGATGGAAGATGGAAATTTTTGCTCATTTTCGTCTGTGTGTGGTTGTTGTTATTTTATGTTCTCACCCACCCGAAGCCACCCCCACTCTCTCAACCTCTCCACCTCTCCACTTCTCCCTCCTTGGTTCTGTTATGTATATTTAACCATATAATAAATATCTATATGCATACAATGTGTGTAAAATATATGTACCTGTACTATGTATGATCTATGAAACAACGAAAAACGAAAAAAAAAAAAAATAAAAAGATTTCAAAAAACAAAAAGAGGCCGAAGAGCATGCCCAGAAGCTGCTCATCGCTCAACAATTGGCCGCTGCTGGTGGGGCGGCGGTTGCCGTTGCTGCCGCAACTGCTACTGCTGCTGCTGCTGCCGCTGTCGTCACCACCGCTGCAACGTCATCGTCATCCACCAGCACGTCTGCTGCCGCTGCCAGCAGCAGTTGTTCGGGTTCGGCGTCGGCCGCCACCAATCACGATCCGCTGGAGGATCTGACCGAACAGCAGCGACGCCTGCTGCAACAGTATTCGATATCGCCGCCCAGCGAAACGATGATATCGGCCGATGGCGATCAAATAACGGTGCATCATCCGCGCGAGGAGCCCAAGAAATCTAGATTGAAATTGCGCGACTTTTTCGTCGCCGAATTTGGTATTACCTGAAACCCCTTGATTACACTCAATGATGATCAAAATCAATCGTCACAATTTCTCAATCATCGTGTGTTGCCAATGCAAGCTCAAAATCAATATCCCCCATCCCCTACCCCTCCCGCCCCGCACATCTGCAATCTCTTGGGGTATCGCTTGTACTTCAGTACCCCAGGATATACGTTCGTATCCCTCATTTTTAAGGGTATCCAATAGAGCTATATCGCTTTCGATGTTGTTATTTAATAATATTTAAAATCTTCTTTGTGAAAATCCCAGCCAGATTCATAGAATCCATAGAAAATGCTTAGACGAACACGTGCTGTAGTTTCCGTGACAGAAAGATGTGTGTTTTTCCGCAACTGCAATTGCAATTTCAATGGCAAGCGCTTGACCACAATATCCCCCATTCCATACCATCCGCTACCCCTGTGTTATGCAATGCAACCACTTTTCCACCCACTACACCCCAACCCCAACCCCAATCCAAACACGGAAAAATCTGAAATTGCTTTCATCTAATTGTTTTCACACGAAGCCAAATCCACAGTCATCAAAATGTAATGTGGAAGCATATTATATAAATCAAATTCTATGCTGGGGCCGGAGAGGGAGGGGTAGGCAACAGACAATTGCTGTCCAAAAAAAGGAAGGAAGGAAGGAATCTCGTTGAATGCGACACGCGACACACGTTGGCTGGGGCACAAACAGAATTTCCGCTGATAAACAATAATCATAAACTGTACAAAAATTGATTGGCGTTGGAGTGGCGGCGCGCAAGAATTTTTTTTTTTTTTTTTTCGGATACACTCACTCGCAGATGGATGAGATTCTACCTGGAGGATTTGGTTATTCTCGGGGTTGTGGATTGTTTTTACTACCAGAAATATGTTTTCAAAGTCGCTAGAAAGCTTCTGCTTTGGTCTGCTGACAGCTTTGGGACAGAAGAATACCCTTTGCCATAAAAGAGGGCATCAAAAGGCCGGCGACAGTGAGAAGGAGAACGAAAACCAACCAAAGCAATATTCACCAAAGACAAGCAGCAGCGGGACTTGCGACACTCTTCTCTCTCTCGCTCTCTGCATGTCTGTGCCTGCCTGTGCAAACAAGTTCATTCACGTGACGACTCTCTTGTTATTGTTGTGGTTGTTGTCGTCGGCATTTACACAGCTAATCAGCTGCAGTGCTGCCGAACTGAAGCGCCGAAGCACCCGAAGAATAAAGCGAAGAAAGAGAGCAGGGCAGAGCCGGGCAGAGCAGAGCAGAGCCGGGCAGAGGCACTCAACGAAGGTTACAACTGCTGGCTACCCCACCCCCTCTCTGTCCATTCTTTCGACACAATCGCAAAAGCGACGACACTGTCCAACAAAAGTTTGGCGAAACACTCGGGGGAATGATGAAGTATTTTTAATAAATACTTTAATAAATACAATAAAGGAAATTAAATAGTAGCATTTGCTTTTAATTTATAAGAAATAGACGCCATGTTTTTGGTTTTTGCTGCACAGTGTTATTGATTGCCCTGCAGAGGGTTTAGAGGGGCTTAGAGCCTATCTCCTTTCTGTGTCACACTCTTTGTGCCTTGAAGAGTAGTGTGCCAAGGCCCCCCCCCCTCCCTGCCCACACATACCACGAGTGAGTAGGCTGCTATTTAAGTTTCTGGCCTGGTTGGAAATGGTTTTATTGGTTTTAAAAAATATTCTCCCTGTTGGCACTCGAAAGGAAATAAGCCAAAAAAAAAAAGGTTTCATTATCATCTTTCGGGTTTTGATGGCTGAAAATAAAAAGTTCCTGAATGTTAGATGAATCCTTGATTCGATATTTTTTGGGTGTTTAAAAAGAAACTGTTGAGTGGGACGATATTAAACACTTTAAAACACTCGTATCGTCTTTAACTGTTTTGTTTCGGGCTGAATTTTTTATATAGATGATCCGTGACCTGTTTAGACGTTTAGATCGTTTTTTTTTTGATCATTTACGGACACCAATCGACACGAACTTCGTTTGGCCGATCGTGAATTGTTTTTACCATGCGGTGATCGTGTAAAATCATATTGAAGGACGTTCTACTATTACCCAAGGAGGCCTCAATCTCACGGTATGTGACATGACGATCTTTGTGGCCCCACAATTGATCTGGGACGAACGTGACTGCAACGAAGAAAGGCATGGTGCATGGTGCTTCGACAAAGGACAGTAAATGTGGTGTCCAATGGGCCAGGAACTGATATGGCAGCCCTCGTTTGTAGAGTCAGACTCGAGCCCCAACAATCCTTGTGCCAGTGACAGTCCCTTCCACGTGCTCGTGAAATATATCCTTCGTTATTTCTGATGCATTTCTAATGTTTGTATAATATTCGTATAATTGAAGTTGGTTCTTTCATTCGATTCCATTCCATCGTTCCACCGTTCCACCGCCACTCAGTATTGTCAACGTTCTCGTGCTTTTGTTGATTTTCTTTCTTGGGATGAAGGCATCTTCTTCAGGTCTGTTTGCTGTGGGGTGCGGCGGGGCGCCACTGATTGAAAATAGAATTTGAATGTCATAACCTTCACTCGAGTCAATCAGCGTACAGGGTAAATATACTCGTAATAATAATAATCGCAAGTGGAAGCAGCGGGGAGCGAAATGGGTAATGGGCAATGGAAAATGGCAATGGCAATAATGGGATCAGGAATGGTAGCCAAACATTGCGTGTCTAAGGAGGATTCTCCTCCCTCTCTCCCTCTCTCTCTGCTTTGGT